CCTCCCGAGGAAAGAGCAGGCCAGCCATGGCAGGCGGTTTTCTCTCGGAAACAGCGAGGTTCCTTCTAGACAATCGGGGCAGGGGTCCGCGTACCCCGTTCTGCAATTTGACTCACGAATGAAGTTACTGATCCCAAGATGAACTCATCGGCCGCTGCAGCGAAACCACCAAAAGTCCAGATGAAGGCTTGTTGGGCATCCTGAGCAGAGTGGCGCAGCGGAAGCGTGCTGGGCCCATAACCCAGAGGTCGATGGATCGAAACCATCCTCTGCTACAGGGACTTAACCTTTTCTCTCCAAACAAGGTTGGAATTTATGACCCAGCTTCAGCCTCGCACCGCCCACTCAGAGGAAGCGCGGCCTCTCCGCCTGGGCCTCGTTGGCATTTTTTTTTCCCCCATTTTCTCTTTCACTTTTTGAAACTGGTTATACTGGCTCGGTCCTAGGTTACACGGGATTCGGTCCGATCCTGTGATCCTTTCCACCCCGTGGGCAGACACTGCAGTCAACAGTATCCTGCACTTTCCTTTACCATTTGTAAAGCTACAGGAGTACAGAAATGATCATACAGACTTTATTAATTAATATATGACACATTTACTGACTACGAGTCTTTTATATAGAAGTAGAAAATAAAATATTGCTCCATAAAAATGTAAGTACTCTGCAGCTTCTTCTCTAATCCTATTACCACCATCTCCCTGCAGCTGTCATGAATTTGAGGTCGATCTGGTCTTGTGCAGGCCCCTGCCAACACTATTGCACCTGAGATTACCTTTTTTGGGGCCGAGACAGGGTCTCACTATGTAATCCAGCCTGGTTTGAAGCAATCCTTCTGCCTCAGTCTCGAGTGCATATACCACGCTTGGCTGAGATGAATTTTAATACACCACTTTCATAGATCATCAAGGGCTTGTGTTATTAATTTAAAATGACTGCTGAGAAAGACATTACTTTCTATTTTCTCTTGGATCCTATATAAGTAACGGATCTTCAGTTTGTCCTTGGATATTGTACCAAAGGTAGAAAAACATCCTTCTCTGAAAGTGAGGAATTCAATTGACCTAGTCTACAAGGCACAAATACTCCTCTCTATAAGTATAAAGAATTCCTATTAGCAAGCATAAAAGTCAAAGGGAACAGCTATATGAAGGAAGTCATTTTAAAAAGCATCAGTTTAAACCCAGCCTCAGGAGCTTAGAAGTCCCCTCTCAAAGAATAAAACGGCCCGGGGAAGTCGCTCAGTGAGAAGGTGCTGAGTTCGGTCCCAGCACCAATAAAACCAAAACCAAACCCCCAGGCCCCTTGGGAACTGTACAGTGCCGCTTTCCCTAACTTGATTTCTGTCACAGGTTACATCTGGCCCGGAGGAGACTGAGAAACAGGCTGTTTCTACTGCGAGACTCTTTGGAAGGGACCGGGAGGACCAGGCAATGCCGGAAATGGCACAAAGACTGGTGAGAGGTCCAGGGTGGGCGACGGGCTGAGCTCTGCACCCTGGGAGTCGGTGTCAGCCTCACACTGGGGCTCTGGACGCCTCAGCAGAGAGCCCCGAGACCCTGAATTCCCTCTTGCAATTCCGCGCCGGGCAGAGGACTGAGGTCTGTGGGAGTCTGGAGGGAAGGAGATAGAGGCGAGCACCTCCACCCTTGCCTTCCTTTCCGTACCCAGCAGCTGGGCATCCGGTGTTTGTCAGGCTCTTTCATCTTAAAATCCGTCCCTGCTGAGGGCGAAGCGACCAAGTAAAGCACGGGCTGTAGAGGACGCTCGCCCCGTGGGCCACGCCGGGAGCAGGCCGCGGAGACCGCTCAGGGTGATCGGAGCTCGGGGCTGATCTGCAGGCTGTGAATCTGCAACCAAGACAGACAAGCTGTTGGGCTCTTCGTACCGTGAAGGCAAAGGCGGTTTACAGGAGGAAGCTCGGCCCAGTCTGTTCTTCTGTTAAAGACAGGAATTTAGGAGCAGCGGGAAGGGAAAACAAACAATTGTAACCTATGGTAACTTTGTGTCCTGAAGCCCCACTTTCTACTTTTAAAAGTGGAAATTAAAATTGTGATTTTTTTCCTTGGCTCTCTCCTTCCTGCCTTTATTTTTCCTGTCCTGTCACCCAGCAGTCCAGGGCGCCCTGCAAGGTCACGTGGCATCTGCGTGTCTGCGTCTGAGTCCGGCGCTTTTTCCTGACACCTTGAGGCTCTTACTATCCTGTCCCTCTCGCTTTGAGTCTGTACTGCTTCTCTCTCCTGGTATCGAGGTTTTCAGCGCCAGCCCAGCGCACTGCTCTCAGCCTTGGCTGCGGAGTCCCCTCCTCGCAGCTGTGCCACACACAAGCTGTCGCCACGCATCCTGAAACCCATCAGCCCCTGGTGTCTCAGAGGAAGGATTTTCAGACGTGAGACTCTAGGGATTGTTGTAACCATGACCCAGGAAGGTAGCATTTAAATTCTAGGTGTTGCCTGAAGTCCTGCTACCTGAGGAAGCTGAGGCAGGAGAATGGCTTGAACCTAGGAGCTTGAGGCCAGCCTGGGCAACATAGCAAGACTTGGTTTCAAAACCAAAAACAACCAAACTAAAAATCTGTCAGTGATAATCTTTTTAAAACTGTGTTAACCCTAAAAGATGCCGCTGTCCTGCAACATCATCATCTTTATGACATTTAAATTAGAAAGCAGCTGGTTCTTTCTGCTTCTCACATGAGTAAAGTTAAAAAAAAAAAAAAAGCAGTGGTTCATTAGATAGCCATTTAAACACAATTCGATGTCCTGTACCTCTTTTAAGTATGCTATGGAAATGGAGAGAAAGATGTGAGAGGAAGGGAGGGAGAGAGAGCACGCTTTGGTTCACTTGATGTAATCATTCCACACTGGTACTGTATATGAAAACCACACACACTCACACACAGGCCCTGTAAGGTTACATCCACGGGCTCTAATCTGGAAGGCTTGATGCCCTTATAAGAAAAGGAATGTAGGCCCATTCTTCTGTTCTGGTGGCTGGGATGGGCTTTCTGAATTGAGGACTGTACTTAGCTGGAGCATTTTGAACATTTCCAGTGTTGGTTGGTAAGTAACAAACCACTTAGTGTTAAATGAGCCTGGCCAAGGATGGACTGCGACGCCTGGGACATGCTGCGATGGAAAGATCTGTTTCACTAAAAAGCAAGTTGGCTGCCGTGAAGCCCTTTCAAACAAGTGCAGCAACCCTGTGAGCAGTTTTGGGTCCTTTTGGTGGCTTCAAGAGAGAGCACTGGGAGAAGCCAGGCCTGTTGGACAGGAGCTGGGAGAGCTGGCAGTGCCAAGTGTCCCAAGAGCAGCAGCCCTGCTGTTGCACCCAGCAGGACATGGCAGGGCCTTCCTAGCTGGAGTTGAAAGGTGGTTGGGCGCTCACTCCAAGGAGGCAGCAGGCAGCTGAGCAGGAAGGCAGTGCCTGCCACTCCCTCCATCCTAACTCCCACTTTGCGGGGGCCCAGGTGAGAGGTCTCATCAGCCTGTCCAGTGCACATCAGGTTTCATGGGATGTCCGGCCATAGTTAGGACTGGACACTGCCAAAGGAGGACCGAATCAAACATTTGGAAAGAAATGGTCCACCTGCAGGAGTCTACCTGGGGTGAGAAGGAAGCAGCAACCCTGTTCTAAGGCAAGAGAGAGAAACTTGGGGAAACACACCTATTTAGAGGAAAAAGAAAAGACCTGCACAGTGGTCGCGGTTGCTGTCTGCACTGGCTTGTTCATGGCAGAAAGCTGCAGTTTGGCCACATGATCACCACAGCCCTAACACAAGGCAAATCTTCCAACAGCAGCCTGGCAAAAAAAAAAAAAAAAAAGGGCTATCATGGTTCCAGTCAAGTTCAGATCTACAGTAAGCAGTCAGGTATCGGTATTCTGAGGACCAGAGCTAGAAAGCCTGATCCTAGTATTTTCATTTATTTCTGCATACAGATTACTTTGTCTTTGTTACTTTGGGGGGACTGTTTTGTTTTGGACCACGGAAGGATACTCCCTCACTCTGCCCCTGTCCTCGAACGACTGGCTCCTGGAGACACAGTCTAAATCCCGGTGAGGAGGAGACCAGGTCCTGCTCAGCCAGGCCTCTCCATAGAGAAACGCCACGCCCTGTGCTTCTGCTTTTGCGTCACTGGATGGCAGCAGAGGGAGGAACCCTGGGACATGGCGAGTCCCCTGGAGACGACTAGAACAAGGCGGAACGGGACGCCGGCAGCACCACAGAAGGAATTAGGAGACTGCTTCCAACCAGGCAGGGTCGCGAATCCCGACGGCAGGGTAAAAGGCAGGAGGGAAGCGGACGGCAGGTCGGTGTTCCGCACGCCCTCTGGCCTGCTAGCAGGACCGCGTCGCCGGTGGCAGACCCGAGATTGCCCACAGCGATAGGGGAGGGGACCCCAGAGCGACAGGAAAGTAGCTGCAGAGGGGCTTTGCTGTCAGTGCAAAGACTGACACCACTAGCAACAGCGCAGGGGATTCCGCAGGGCAGAGGCGGCGCGTGAATGCGGTGGGACGCAGAGGACTTAGGGGGATCGCAGTGGCCCACGGGGGGACCCGCCACGGCGACCCTGGCTCAGCTGTCCGGATGGAACACGGGGGCCGGAGGCGCCCACAAGGGTGCGGGTTCGCTGTAGTCTCATCCTTCAACTGTGACCCCAGCTTTCGTGTCCCCCCAGGCTTGGACACAAACCATGTCCCGGTCACCGCGGCTCCAAGGGTTGCAGACACCAAGCGTGCTCTGTCGAAGTTACTTGGGCCCAGGCGCCCAGGGCAGAAGAGCCAACGGAGCAAGAACTCCGACCTTGAGTTCGGCCCACTCCACAGGGAGGGAAAATTTCATTTTGTCAAAAAAACCTCACCGAACCCACAGCCATGAAGGACCGTCCTTGTCAGCTTTCTCAAATAGCGCTGCCACCCGGACTGGAGCTTCGCACGCTTTGCTGAGAGCAAGCCAGAGCGAAATCTGGATATCGCAGCACTGACAAAAGGCAGGACATTTAAGGACGCAAATTAAGTTTGGTGATTTTTTCACCTATAAACACGCACAATACGCGCAGAATTTTATAAATCTACCCGCCTGCTCGACTCCGTCCTATAAAAGCACACGCAAGGATCCTAAAAGAAAGCAGACCTAGGGGCCAGCTATTTTATATGAAAGAGTAGGTGGCTCTTAAAAGAGCCTTGGGGGCGGGAGCAGGCAGCGCACTGGCGCGCTCACTTGGCGCTGGTGTACTTGGTGACCGCCTTGGTGCCCTCCGACACGGCGTGCTTGGCCAGCTCGCCGGGCAGCAGCAGCCGCACGGCCGTCTGGATCTCCCGCGACGTGATGGTCGAGCGCTTGTTGTAATGCGCCAGGCGCGACGGCTCGCCGGCGATGCGCTCGAAGATGTCGTTCACGAACGAGTTCATGATGCCCATGGCCTTAGACGAGATGCCCGTGTCCGGGTGCACCTGCTTGAGCACCTTGTACACGTAGACCGAGTAGCTCTCCTTGCGGTTGCGCTTGCGCTTCTTGCCGTCCTTCTTCTGCGCCTTGGTCACTGCCTTCTTCGAGCCCTTCTTCGGGGCCGGCGCCGACTTCGCTGGCTCAGGCATTATGGAGCGAAAACTTTACCAGTGAAGGGAGAAGCAAGCGGAGCTGCTTTATCTACAGAGAGGAATGTAAATGAGGTGCGGAAAAGGTCCTTGGCGATTGGTGCTCGCGCTTCAGTGACGTCACAGTCCAGGCTCGCCCGATGCCCAGACGCCACTGGTCTAAACGAACATGAAAGGTGACCAATCGCAGGGCTGCCTTTTCGCGCCCCGAGGACGATATAAAGGGCGATTCCGTCAGTTTCGGACCACTGGTGGGTAAGTACTGCTGGAATTCTCGCGATGTCTGG